CGAAGCCTGAAGATGATGAATGAGACTTCATCGAAACGTTGCCTAGATACTTCGAAACTTACGCGGGAGAAAACCCGAACAACCAAAGATCCACATACAAATACCCGCGAGAACCTCAGAATATATATATATAGTAGTATAGTATATATATAGTATTCAGCTTTGTTCGAGTATTTTCCCACGTCATTGTAGTTGTGCTTTTAAAGTTGTAGCAATGTTTCAGCAGAATCTCATCTGCCATCATCAGGCTTCTGTATTGTGTTCGTCTGTGAGTCAGACTTTTACAGTTGTTTCAGTTTTAAATTTGGGGCTAGCCTACTACTGTGCCAGAATGGTTTTTTCTTCATCCTGATTGGTTGGGAGTCTTGGTCTGTGTTTATTGGTCTTGGAGTTTGCTGTGTTCTGCTTGATTGGTGTTTCTAATATCTTCTGTCTGTTTTGTGGCTTTTTTTGTCTTGATTGGCTGGCAACATTGTGTTTCCTGTATTGGAGGCTTTTAGTGCAGCTTGGGTCCAAGTAAACGGACAGCTATCTTTTATTAGGAAGTTAGGTTTCATCTGGGTGCCAGGTTGGGTTGTGTTTGAGCTGGAGGTATCGGGGTAGTCTGTTTATGCCCGGGTGTTTGCCTGGCTTGTGGTGTGGAGATTATTTTGTTTGAGAGTGCAGGCTTCCAAATAATTGACAGTCTGATAGAGTCATCTCTTCTATTCATGCTTTCAAGTCTTTTTTCAATCTCTATGGCTTCTCTGATAATTCTGTAGCTGGGGTTTTCTATAGTGGCTAGGGTTTTGGTGCCATTGAAGTCGATGCTATGACCTGTGGCTTTCATGTGTTGAACAAGTGAGGAAGTGTGTTCCAGCTTTTTTACTGCATTTTTGTGTTCATCCAGGCAGGTACTTATTCTTCTATTGGTCTGTCCAATGTATGTGGCAGGGCATGATGCACAGGGGACTTCATATATGCCTTGGTTTTCCAGGTCAATTTTATCTTTGGGGTTTCTAAGGATGGCTGCTATTTTTCTGTCTTTTTTGAAGGCAGTGATGCCTCTTACTGATTTTGTCTATAGTACCTCTTATGTAGGGCAGGACAGCTGTTCCATAGGTCTGTTCATCTTCTAGGTCTCCATTATGTCTCAGTGTGTTTTTGTGGATCAAGCCAGTGATTTTGTTTTTGTGGAGGCCATTGGCTGTCAGTACTTTAGTCAGGGTGCATAGTTCAGTCTTTATGTGTGTCTTGTCTGCCAGGTGTTTGGTTCTGGCAATTAGTGTTTTGGCCACGGAGTTTATCTGTGCTGGGTGGTGGTGGGATTGGGTGTTGAGGTAGCGGTTAATGTGTGTTTTCTTCTGGTATATGGTGCGTCCTAGTGTGCCATCTGTTTTTTTGTAGATTAGTACATCTAGGAATGGTAGTTTGTTTGTTTCCATTTCCATGGTGAATTTGATTTTGGGGTGTGTGCTTTTTAGGTGTGTTAGGAAATTGTTCAGGTTTTCTTTTCCATGGGGCCAAATCACAAATGTGTCATCAATGTATCTTAGCCACAGTTTGGGTTTGTGGGTGGCATTGGCTAGGGCTCTGGATTCGAATTCTTCCACGAACAGGTTTGCAATGACGGGTGACAGTGGTGATCCCATAGGGGCTCCTTCAATTTGCTTGTATCTTTGTCCTTTGTTTATGAAATATGTCTTGGTTAAGCAGTGTTCTGTTAGTTCCATGAGGTGTTTGGGTGGTTGGTATTTATTTTTGATGATTTTGAGAGTTTCTTTTATCAGGACTTGAGTGAATAGTGAAACCACATCGAAACTTACAAGCAGATCTTTTTGTTCCACCTGTAGATCTTTGATCATTTCCAAGAGGTGGTATGAGTTTTGTACATGTGAAGCTGCTGCTTCAGCATGGGGCTATAGCTGCTTTGGCTAGGTTTTGTAGTGGTGCTCTTCTGGAGCTGACTATGGGTCTGAGAGGTATGCCTTCTTTGTGTATTTTTGGGAGGCCGTATAGTTTGGGGCATCTGGAAGATTTTTCTCTTGGGATGATCGTCTGTTGGATCTCTTTGCTCATGTGGCTGGTTATAATTTTCTTCTTGGTTATTTTTTCCAGATATGTGGTTGGGTCCGTGTTTATGGGTTTGTATGTGGAGTCTTGAAGTAGGTCTGTCAATTTTGTTTCGTAGTCTTTTCTATCCATTACGACTTACCTTTATCTGCTGGAAATATGATTATGCTGCTGTCATTCCTTAGGACTTGCAGGACTTTTAGTTCCTCTTCGTGCAAGTTGCTTTGTGTAGGTTGCAAACCTGTTCATGGAAGAATTCGAATCCAGAGCCCTAGCCAATGCCACCCACAAACCCAAACTATGGCTAAGATAAATCAATGACACATTTGTTGTTTGGCCCCAAAATCAAATTCACCATGGAAACGGAAACAAACAACTGCCATTCCTAGATGTGTGTGTGTGTATCAGATACTGTGGGCGCCATTCAGCACTATATTGCTGAATACCTATCTCCCAGAAGTAACTGCCACTGATTTTAGTTGGAGTTCCTCCAAAACAATCCCATATAAAACAATAAGAGATGTCTTCTCATAGTATTAGGTTCAAGGTACTTATTCCAAGATAACAGCCTTTATTTTATCATATTATCAAGTAAGAAAAAGTAATAACATTTGTCATATCAAGAATATTAAAGAAAAATCTCTTGTAAAATAAACACATTTCACTTAAATTGTTTGTTTCCTTCCAGCTTTATTCTGTGATTACTACAATAAAAAGGGAGAGTGTGAATGGCATTATCAACCTTGTGGTTCTTCTTGCATGAAGACCTGTAGGAATCCACACAATTGTTCACTTGAATTATATGACTTGGAAGGTACAGTATTTATATATCTTATCTTTGAGCTGCAACAACCATTAAAAACTGAAAATCACATCAATTCTTCTAATTACTATAGTAGGAGCTATTCAAGACTTGCTTAAGAAGTGAGGATATATTTTTCTAATAACTGTTTTACACAAAGAGTGTTAAATTTATGAAAATTGATTTGTTCAATTCTGGATTATTCAAGTTTAATGCTACGGATGCATGCAGTTTTGCACATGCTACCAATGAAAGAAAAATAGTTGGTTTGAATTGAAAAATAAGCAGTTATTTCTCCAAAAAGCCCACTTTTTTCTGATCTGCCAGCATAACATTTATTTTTTTAAGCTTAATTTTAAAAAAATGTTTGGAACTGTTTGCTTTTTTTTCTATCTTTTTCCTTCTATCTTTGAAGATTAGATTTTGTTAAAATCCCTCGCACATCTCTATTTTATTGCCTACTTTGCTCATTTTGTCTGGTGAAAATCTTACATTAAGTTCTCTTTCTTATTGTAGGATGCTATCCAAAATGTCCAGATGATAAACCCTACTTTAATGAAGATGAGATGGACTGTGTCTCCCTTGATAAGTGTGGCTGCTTTGATGATAAAGGAAACTATTATAAACCAGGAGAAAAATTGCCTTCAGAAAAGAGCTGTCAATCATGGTAAGTCTTGTGCTTAAAGTGCCACCCATCTCATCAAAGGTGACAACAATGGATTAAAGCAAGAAGTGTAAAAATAGCAAGTGCAAATATTAAAAAAACATGGCAATAAATATTCTAAATTTCCAAAATACAACCAGAAGTAAAGGGAGGATATAAAAAAAAATGGCTTCCTTCACAGTAGAGTCACCTAGATAAATCTGTTTTGTGACAACTCCAGCCTAGTCACATGTTCAAATCCTGAGGCCCTCTCAGAATATCAAAAGGGGTGGGGCCAGTCTAATTGGGGAAGGGAACAATACTCATTAATTAAGAGCCACAGTAGAGAAGGCAATCTCCTGGGACCCACCCAAGTGTAGATCTCTAGCTGTTAATATCTGCAGCATCCCTTGTCTGCAAGATCTCATGGGTGGGGCTAATGCAAGTGGAGAGAAGCAGTCTTTCAGATAGCTTCGTCCAGTGGTGGGATTCAAATTTTTTTACTACTGGTTCTGTGGGCGTGGCTTGGTGAGCATGGCAGGGGAAGGATACTGTAAAATCTCCAGTCAGGGGTGGTATTTGCCGGTTCTCCAAATGTCCGCTACTGGGTCTCCAGAACTGGTCAGAACTTGCTAAATACCACCTCTGGCCTCGTCCTGTGCCATGAAGGGCTTTAAAGGTTAAAACCAGCATCTTGAATTGAACCTGGGAGCAAACTGGCAACCAGCACAGCTCACAGAACAGAGATGCATTGTGTGTTCTTTTGACAGTACTCATAACTGCTCATGCCACTGTATTCTGTACCAATTGAAGCTTCCAGATAAGTTAAAGATCTGGCAGAGGACTTACATGAAATAGCATTATGTTTCATAAAACAGGAGCAAGAATTAGCAGGCAACATTCTGAAATACTCTACCGAGGATCAATTTCTTTAAAATAATGTCATACTGTTAATACACTCTATTCTATATTCATCTCACCTCAGGTTAGACTAAGAGTTTGCTCAAATCATTTCAATGAACAATGACATATTTTGATGCTCAGCTGTTTTGCTCCAGTTAAACCACAGGATCTTTTGAACCCATTCTCTACTCCCAATTCTTGCGAGGAGAGACTTTTTGTTAACAATAATTAATAAATCTTAATTTTATTAAAGAGAAAAATTATTTAAGTGAAAAAATATTTCTAAATAAATAATTTTACTATTCCCTTAATTTTAGGGTGTGGGGAGGAATGGTGTTTCCAAAGAAAATGGACAATCTGTTTATAAATTCTGAATTTGCCAAGAAGCTTTTTTATTTTTCCAGCAATTTTATCAGGACGTTTTCATACAATGAATTGGATCTTCTTGTAATAATCTGTTGGTTTCTGCATGATTCTATTCCAATTGTACATAAGTACATTTTTTTTTAACCTGTTGTGCTTTTTAAAATGGTGAGCCTTCTAACCTGTGCTCATTTGTTTCCTTACAGTTATTGCTCAATGGACAGTGAAGAGGACTGCAGATATGATGAAAATGGTAAGCAGACTGTGTCGATTCGATGTGGGCTGTGATTATTTGGATCAGCCATTGTGAGAATTGAAACAACCTTAATAACCAATTGATTTTTTTTTAATGACAGAATGTTACTGTATCTATGAAGGAAAGATAAGCAAACCTGGCGAGATCATCTACAATACAACTGATGGCATTGGAGGGTGCATCACAGCAATTTGCAGTCAAAATGGCACAATTGAGAGGAATATCTTTCCATGTTCCACAACCCCTACCAGTATTCCCACCACTACTGTCTTTGTATTTACTAACACCACTTCACCAGCAAGCACTACTCCAGGTACAAATTCTAACAACATATCTTTTTCCTTAGTAAATGAAATGAAACAAAATTGTTGACCATATTATAATAATTTTTTAAATACATTTTAGTATGTGCCCATAATGTGCAAACCCATGACGTCTGTGATAAAAACATTCAGAAAAATGAGATATTTTCATTTTTAAATTAAACAGATTCATTTAATCTACTTCAGTTGCAAAAACAGTTTGATGAGAATGATGAGAATTCCTTAAGAAATTCCTGATAGAGGTTTAGGCAGAGACATAGGGGGAAAAACTTCATAAAACGTGAGCCCCTGAAGTTAGGAATAAAAATATTCAAAATATGCTTAAACTTGTAAAATGGCCTTTTCAGCATATTACAGATATGATGTGGAGAAACAGCTACCAGTTTTGCTACTGAAAAAAGGTTGTTGTATGGAGAAGAGAGTTTAAGTTGTGAGTTTAATTTGCTACCCCACATTTTCACATTACAGCAATATAGAAGGATATCGTGGGAAAACAAACCATTTGGCCTATTGCCATGGAATCATATGGAAGGTTTTAACTATTAGGACTTCTTTTTTTTTTAAATAAAGTTTTATTGAGTTTTAACAAAATAACTAAAACATCTTATTTGAGTACAGCATCGTTCCGGGTTATCACATTTCCATACAGACACAATTTCACATGCATATGCATCTCATGTATTCAACTTCATATCTTATTACTCTTTTACCAACTTCTCACTATTTCTCCCTTTACTTCTCTTAATTTTCTTTTATGGTTATCTCATTTTCTTCTTATTCAATTGTATTTCTTTTACCTAAATTTCTATATCTTTTTATTCATTGTACTTATACTTTCGTCTGTCTTGTTTACAATTTCATATGTTCTCTTCCAACATTCTTAAGAAGCAAAATTCCCCCTATGATTGCCAATTGAAGTGCAACACCTTTAAATCTTATTGTTATTATCACATGAAATCTCATTAAACATTGAATTTGTGCATTCTAAAATTATAACATTCAAATTTCTAATATCTATTTTATATCATGTAGATTTCATCATTCAGACTCTGCTTGGTACTTCCCCTTGAAAATGTAAAAAGAAAAATTCTAAAAACATAGCAAAAACTATATATATATATATATATATATATATATATATATATATATACATACACATACACACACACACACACACACACACACACACACACACACACATTAGGAAACAAAATAGTTATTCAAAATCATTCTAGTACTGGTATGAACCTTGTAAATCTTTCACGTTTCTTTTCAATATCTTATCAATCTTTGAGAACAATTGAAATGTTTCCCTCCCTTCTTCATTATTACTTAACTGTTAATAAGCATACCATTGGATAGTCATACAGTTTTATCCTATAAATTATTTACTATTAATAAGCAAAATAATTATTCAGATTCATTCTAATAACTGGTATAAATTTCCTTATAAATCTTTCACATTTCTTTTCAATATTTTATCAATCTTTAGAAACAATTGCAATGTTTCACTCTCTTCTTTATTATTGCATTAATTATAAATAAACATACCATTACATAACAATACAGTTTTATCTCATAGATTACTTACTTATTTCATTTCTAACTCATTACAGTATTCTACTGTCACAACACTATCTTTTGTACCTTTGCAGAATCCTCACTTTTAACTTAAGTTAACCATTGTCTCTGTGATTTCTAGCTGAGCAAATACCTTTAATCCTAGTATGTTTCCCCTTTTTCTTTATTTCCTGTTTTTGTCCCTCATAAGTTCTTTCCCTTTCTATCTTTCCCCCCTTTCGCTCATCCCTTTTTTAATACCCTTCTCTCTCTAATTTTCCCTTCTGTAGTTTTCTTGTCTGCTTCTCCTTGCTGTTATACTTCTTTTTCAGACTATTTTTGTTTTTGGATGTTCCCTTTGATCTCAAACTATTAACTCCTTTCCCCCTTTTTCCCCTTATTACCACACTTTGCATTATTTGATCATTGAAAATGGCTTCTTCTTTGTCCTGCCCTTCTTCTTGCTCTTGAAGCTTTTCCTTTTGCTTTTCATAGTTCAGGATCTCCATTTCAAGAAATTCAAATACAAAGCCAAAGGATCTTCCTCCCCTTTCTACATCTTCTTTCTGTTTTTTAAGACTCATCTTCAATTCCTCCAGGAGTGATGGCATTTTAAACACTTTTGAACAACCACCCAATTGACTTTAAGTAAAAACAGAAAAAGAAAGAAAAAAACCAATGCCAAAACCTTTTTTTTTAAATCACCAAATGATCCCAGACTGTTCCTTCTTGTTTCTTTCCTTTCCTTTTCCTTTCCGTGGGTTACTGTATCTTTTAATAAGATTTCAGTCACAATGTATCCTCGGGAGTCTTTTCAAAGTTTCACAGTTAGTCCTCTTTATTTTTACAGGTAGCACTCCATTTTCCCATTATTCCAAGTCCCACCCTTTTGCCTCCACTCTTCTCCTTTTTAGGGCTTTAAAATGACCAAGAAAAAATCCTTATTCTCCTTTTGACACTTAGATTTCAGCTTAAGGTTGCCTATTAGTGTCAAAATAGATTAATATAAATTTCTTTCCATACCATTTGTAATTGTCAATATAAAGACCAAAAAAGGCGTTTTAACCTCCTTTTCTCTTTCCTTCGCTGCTTAAAGATCTTCTTTCAGAAGTATCCCTCTAGGTACTTTTAGATTCAGGGTACCTTGCTTCGATGTTCTCTGTTGTTTAGCCCAGTCTGTCCTGCTTTCCTCTTTGTCTTCCTCCTGCAAAATCTTATCTAGTCGGGTTCTTCTTTGAGGTGGCTATTTAGGACCACCGCTGCAAACGCCTTCAGGGAAGGGAGTTTAGACCAGCCAAGGAGGAGAGATGCAGCTCCCCTCCATTCAGCTAGCAATCTCCCACCTCTTAACCACATCTATGGGGTGGCTTCAGCCCCGAATCCAAAGGATCAGGGTGCTCCAGAGGTGAGCGCAGATCGAAACTGCGCACGATCGTGGATTTCGGTCTATCGCTGAGGAGACCCAAACCGGAAGTCAACTATTAGGACTTCTGAATCACTAAATACAATAAAAAAAGAATGTCCATTTTGTCTGAGACTAAGTTGAGATGACTTATTCTGCTGCTGCTGAAGCAATGCAGTGCCACTCACGTTTTAAAATAAATGTTTAATACTTATTTTAGACATTAAAATAAATATTTTAATTGCACTCTGTGCATATTCTTCTCCTCAATATATTAAATATGTAAAAGTGATTCTGCTTATTAGGTGCTGAGGGTAATGTGTGATTAAAAATATCAATTAAGTTATCACAAAACCAAGGAATGCACTCTCACTTATTTCTTCTCAGCCACCACGCTAAAAATTATTGCTCCTCATTGCCATTAGCAGCAGGAAATCAATGATTTTGAGCAGAATGTCCTGGGAAGGAAGCCGATTAGTCTTCCTGTAACTTCCTGTCACAAAAACTTTGCTGAAGATCACTGTTTTCTCATGTGAAAGAGTCTAAAAGAGGGATTTTTCAAAGCCACCAAGAGGAAAAAGGAGGAAGCTATATGTTTAACCACTGGCCCTATTATCACACACGGTCTCATACCCAGGGGTGGGATTCAAATTTCTTAACAACCGATTCTGTGGCCATGGCCTAATTTGTGGTGGTCAAGTGATTGGGTGGGCATGGCTTGCTGACTGGGCATGGCTAGGTGGTCATGTGACTGGGGTGGGTGTGCTAGGTGGCCATGTGACTAAGGTGGGCATAGCTAGGTGGCCAACCAAATATAAGTGATCATCATTTAATGGCCAGGTGCTTAATTTATGACTGACCTCCCCAGAGCTACTTGACCTGTTTTTGGTGTTTTGACAGCCATACACACACACACACACACTTATGACCAGTTACAACATCCCACACAGTCTTGTGACTGAGGTTTTCTATGTTTTTTGCCAGTTTCCAACAATATATTCTGGTTTCCAGTTAAAAATGCCCATTGGGGAAAATGGACTTGTTTAACAATCAGTGTTTGCTTAATGACCACAAGGTTCACTTAACGACCATGGTGTTTGCCTAACCCAGGGGTCTGCAACCTTAAACACTTTAAGAGCCATTTTTCTATTTTCTTTTAAGCAGCTATCTCTGTCTCTGTCTTTCTTTCTCCCTCTTTCTCATCTCTCTCTCTCCCTCTCTCTCTCTCTCTCTCTCTTTTCTTTCTCTTTCTTCCTCATCTCTCTTTCTCCCACTCTCTGTTTCTCATTTCTCTTTCTCTCATCTACAACTAAAATTGGAAGCTGTTTTTTATAATCCTATTTCTTTGCAGTTTTTTTTCACACACATTTGTATATATGTATCCAATACTCTTTCTTCCTTTCTACTATGAATTCAAAAGGGGCAATGATTTTATGTGTGTGCATATAGCATGTGTATATGCGTGTTATGTATGTGTATGGTGGTATATATATTTCACTTTTAATGTGTGCCAGTGTACTTACAGTAAAAAAACGACAATAAAAGTTACCTTATCCTATCATCCTTCTTTCCTTCCCAACCCCATTCCTCCCCACACCCTATTTGGTGTTGGCTTCCCAGCCAAGTACTTACCGGGTCTGATCCTGTTTAGCTTTCTAAAATCAGCCTACTGAAATAAATACCAAACTAAACTGTCCAATAATTTACCTACCATCACTATCTTGCACCTGATTTCAATGTAAACAGCCAATCTGCAGTACTGCTAAATTTTGCTAGGCATCTGCTGCATGTTACTCTCTTCCTTGATAATTTAGTCTAGAGGTCCCCAAACTTGGCAACTTTAAGACTTGTGGACTTCAACTCCCAGAATTCTCAAGCCAGGAAGTCTGGGGACCCGTGATCTAGTCTTAGCTGGGCAAAACAGTCTGGAGCCACTGGCAAGAGCAGCTCAGCATGGAGAAAAGTTATGCGTCTCCCCATATTCCTTTCTCTGTGAGTAGCCTCATCCCCTCCTCCTCCTCATTTGTGAAACACGCAAAGTTTAAAGGTGCTGCTCATGGCGAGAGGAATATGGGAAGATGTATGACTTTTCGCTGTACCAAGAGGGCTGCTCTCTCTCTAACACCTCCACTCTTGGCATGGAAAACAGTCAGTGGGAGCAGCAGTTGAGTCTGTTGGTCACACTTCCCGGGGCTCATGCACACCATACCTCCAGTGGGTGGGGGATGCAGCAGCAATGAGGTGGCAATGGTGATTCCAGTGGCATCGGGGCTTTCGGGACCAGTCCATCCCACTGCCATCCATGCAGCCACACATGTGGTGCATCGGGGCTTCCAGGCTCTGCTCCGCACAGCCGCTGTCAGCTGTCCCGGACTCGATCAAGGGCCGCCTTGCTGACACGAGCCTCTCCACGTATTCTTTCCTGCTGCTGTTTTTGGGAGAGCAAGAGTTTTCCAAAACAGCGGAAAGCTTCCAAATCCTCCCATTGGAAACAGCTCCCAGGCAAGCAGAGAGAAGCAGGATTCAACCTGGCTTGCTTCTCTGCTTGCCCAGGAGCTGTTTCTAATGGGAGGGGGGACTTGGAAGCTTTCCGCCATGTTGAGAAACTCTTGTCTTCCATCAACAGCAGCAGAAAGGAATACGTGGAGGCTCGTGGAGGCTCTAGCCAGGTTAGCAGCTGCTTCTATCACCTGCTGCTGTTTTTGGGAGAGCAAGAGTTTCCCAAAACAGCGGAAAGCTTCTGAATCCCCCCATCGGAAACAGCTCCCAGGCAAGCAGAAAGAAGCAGGATTCAACCTGGCTTGCTTCTCTGTTTGCCCGGAGCCATTTCTAATGGGAGGGGAGACTTGGAAGCTTTCCGCTGTGCTGGGAAACTCTTGCCTCCCATCAACAGCAGCAGGAAACAACACATGGAGAGGCTCATGTAGGCTCCAGCCAGGTTAGTGGCTGCTTCTATCACCTGCTGCTGTTTTGGGGAGAGCAAGAGTTTCCTAAAAGAGCAGAAAGCTTCTGAATCCCCACCCATTGGAAACGGCTCCCGGGCAAGTAGAGAGTAGCAGAATTCAATCTGGTTTGCTTCTCTGCTTGCCCAGGAGCCATTTCGAATGGGAGGGGAGACTTGGAAGCTTTCTGATGTGCAACAGCAGGTGAGAGAAGCAGCCACTGACCTGGCCAGATCCTATATGAGCCTCTCCACATGTTCCTTGGTGGAAGGTAAGTGGTGGGGGAAGGCAACTGGGGCTTGCAGAGCCTCACTCACCCAGGAAGATCAGTGGAGGCAGGGCCGCAGTGGAAGGCAGGGAGCAATGACTGGCCTGGCGGGTGTGCAAGAGTAGGTTGCAGGCAGCAGTGTTGCACATGCATGCAATGTCACGTATGCGTGATATGGACTGATGGGCAGGCAGCAGAGAAGTAGGCAGAGAGGGGTGGGGCCAAGCAGAGGCCCGATTTACGGTTCTCTGAACTACTGGGAATGGTAACAACCGGTTCTACAGAACTGAGCCGATCCAGTAGAATCCCACCTCTGCTCATACCTTAAAAAACTGTTCTGAGACACAGTTGTTTCAGGGTATTATTTGCATGCTCACAATTGTTAGAAAATATTCATTGGAATCAGATGAAACATATTAATTTATCCTTTTAATATCTTTGCAGTGCCCATGATTACATCCGTCTGTGTTCATGAACTGTGTCATTGGTCAGTGTGGTATGATGGGATGCAGCCTGGCTTAGGAAACAATGATGGAGATTTCGAAACTTTTGACAATCTAAGGGCCAAAGGCTACCAAGTCTGCAAAACTCCAAAAGCTGTTGAATGTAGAGCAGAGAAATTCCCCAATACTCCATTAACTACACTGGGCCAGAAGGTAGAATGCAGCAAAACAGTTGGATTAATTTGTAATAATATGGACCAGCATCCAGAAATCTGCCACAATTATCAAATCAAAATACTATGCTGTAGCTTTGTACCATGTGGCAATTATACAACAGCTTCCACACCTGAAACTACCACAGTCTCTCCAGTTCAAACAACTACAGTACCAGCTACTATTTTGACAAGTACCACTGCTTTCACAAATACAATTAAAGGAACCACTAGCATCTTAACAACAACACCAGAAACTACTTTTTTACCTACTAGCACTATGGTCCCATCTACCATGGAAACTGGATCTTCAACAACAAAAACAACTTGCATGCCTATTTGCAAATGGACAGAATGGTATGATGTGCATTTTCCTACACTGGATAATGAAGGAGATTTTGAAACATATGACATTATTAAAGCCACAGGAAAAGATATCTGTGAAAACCCAGAACATATAGAATGCAGAGCTGAGAAATTCCCTAATAAAACTATTGATGAAATTGGCCAAAATGTCCAGTGCAATGTGTCCTTTGGATTTGTTTGCAAAAATGAAGATCAGTTGGGAATGCTGCAAATATGTTTTAACTATCAAATTAAAGTCTATTGTTGCAACAACGAATGTTTGACCACTCCCACAGAAACTTCAACCAGGGTCACAACACCTCAAACAACTTCTACAATCATTACTACAACTTCAGGAACCACAAGTCCAAATATAACAACACCACAACTTACATCTACCTCAGTTCCAGTTCCAGAGACAACTACAATTACATTATCTCCTGCCACTACTAAACATACATCCACACTTCCTATAATTTCTACTACAAAATTTTCAATGACAACTACGGCTATGCAATCAACTTCTACTGCAGCTTCTACAAAATTTCTTCCAACACAATCAACAACATCTGAACCAACAGCAACCACCACAATATCTCTTCCAACTACAACACAGACACAAATACCTACAACAATTTTTACAACAGGTATAACTTGCACCGAGGAACAATGCGAATGGTCCCAATGGTATGATATAAGTTACCCAGGCAATGGACCTGATGATGGTGATTTTGAAACATTTAAAAATATAACAGACAAAGGACATAACATTTGTAAAACACCAAAAAATGTTGAATGTCAAGCACTACAGTATCCAAACACATCACTTGAGGAACTGAATCAAAAACTTACTTGCAATACAAAAGAAGGGCTCATATGTTATAATAAAGACCAAATACCACAAATTTGCTACAATTACAAGATCAGAATTCAATGTTGCAAAATTATATTTGTACCATGCCAAACAACACCAATCTCCACAATAACTACTACATCACTGAAAACAACAAAAATACCTACATCAATATTAACAACAACTGAACTAGTAACTGAGACAACAGAAAAACCAGTTGTTACACAATACCAAACAAAAAAGCCTCCATCTACAGCACATCAGATTGTTGAAACAACATCAACTGCCACTTCTAGCTCAACCATCCCAGTTTCAACCACAAGGCTCATTGTAACGACACCAGAAGTAATAACCATGACCAGACCACCAACCTCAACCATGAAAACCACGACCAGCAGTACCACCAGAGAAACATCTCCCACCATCACAACAAGAGT